CTAGGAGAGAATGACTTCTGTTCTTCTCTCTCTGTAGTCACATTACCACACTGAAGATTGATGCTAAGTCCTCCCTCACAGCAGATTCAGCACTCACTTCTACCTTCTGGAGTCACGGAGTAGCTGAGATGGCAGGCCAAAGAAATAAGTGAGTATTGTGGTCTGCTGGACGCTGACACTTTGTCTTCTCAGGGTGCTAGGTGAAGTGCGCTGCTAAGCACCCAAGCAGACTTGTTTTGCTCAAGAGCTCATCCGTCCCTCTGTCTCTCCAGATCTCTTGCTAAGTCTTGGTAACTAAAGCCTCCACATTGTCCTTTCCCTCAGTTTTCACACTTATCCTGGGACACTTGGACTTTGCTTCCCACCCTAGCAGAGATGCTTTTTCTTTCTCTTGCCGGCTGTACCCATTGCCCTCTCTTGAGTGTGGTCAAGGAGGGTTCGGGAGTTCCGATAATAAAGTGCAGCTGTACATCTCATGGGGCAGTGAATGTAGGGACAGTGGCTTTGCTGCCCTGTGAGAACAGCACTCGTGGCAAGGTGCCTGATGGCTGTGGTTTTGGGGACCATATAGTCTTTTGAGACGTACTAACTTTGCTTGTATGCTTTTCTAACAGGCTGTGTGTGTCATCCCTGGCACTGGGGAGCTTTGCAGAGGGGATGGAGGCTGTGTATGGCATGTTTGATGGTGACAAGAACGAGGAGCTGCCACGCTTGCTGCAGTGCACCATGGCTGATGTGCTCCTGGAGGAGGTACAGCAGTCAGACACCATGTTCATGTCCAACACCTTCTTGGTCTCCCACAGGTAGGACAGTGAGCAAGCTGGTCCTGGTGGGACCTGCATAGGTATATCACTTAATGTGTTAGGTGGGGTGAGGCAGCCCTCCAGAATGCCTGTCACTGGAGTCTGGAGCCTTCCTACACCTTCTCCTCCAACAGGAAGCTGGGCATGGCTGGGCAGAAGCTGGGTTCCTCTGCTGTCCTTTGCTATATTCGTCATGATGTGGCTGATCCAGCCAGCAACTTTTCTCTGACGGTGGCCAATGTGGGGACGTGCCAAGCCATTCTGTGCCGAAGTGGAAAACCACTGCCTCTCTGCAAAGTCTTTAGCCTTGAACAATGTTCAGAAGAAGCCAAGAGAGTCAAGGAGCAAAAAGCCATTATAACAGAGGTTGGTTTGGACCCTCTTCACTTCAGCTTCTACCCTCCCGTAAAAGCTAGGTACAAATACATGAGCTCTGCTGCCTGCACAATAGTACAGGGGAGAGGATGGCATGAAGGCGTTCAAGTGACTTATCTGTTGCTTCCTGCTCTGCTTCTCTTGCTGATTAGCTATTCAGAATGACATGTTCTTAAAAAACCCATTATGGCCTGAGAACTACGGGTACAGGATGCCATGGATAGCTTGGGGAGAGAGGAAGGAAAGAAAATAGGTGTGGAGCTAAAGGAGGGGAGGTCCATAATACTGTGCATGACTTGAGTGAGTGTGGAGAGGAGCCACTGAAGAACAGAGCAGGGCCTGGAAAGTCATCTTGTCTCAAAACCCGCAAAATATCTTTGGTGTTTCTTGAAAAGTATGACTCAAGTTACTTCTCTTTGGATTTCTTCCATGTTTTACTCAGTGAAGGTACAGGATTAGTGGCTCTTGAGACATGCAGAACATGGATATAAAGTATATTACGGGTAAAAATTTTAACACAAAAAAGACAGAAGTGTTCATTGGTTTTATGCGAAAGTGCTAAAATGATTTCTGGAGAACTCTCTAAAGGTTAACTTTCTAAAAACTTGGAAATAACAGGGAAGTTCCAAAGAACTGGAAAATATGTTGTCGGTGAAGATCTGAGAAATCAGTGCCAGTCATATTAGTTTTATGCTCAGTGGGTCTTTTATAAAGTATCAGGATGTTTGCTGAAAGTGTTTTTGACAGGGATAATCTGTTAATATGTTATAGCTCTGCAAGGTGCTATATTCCATAGCACTCTGACTAAAAATAACTGTGGAATCAATGTAGCACAATAAATGGTTTAAAAACTGGCTGATGAATGGATTCTGAAAAATAAAAGTGAAATCATTGTCTAAGGAGACTTCCCTGCATGTGTCCTCTGCTGGTTTTTAATACGCAGCAAACAGCAATGTTTAACACCCAGAGGATACAGAAATTAAGAATACTGAAATTAAATTCAAAACACTGGGGAAGCTGTGTACTCTGTATGCACTGACTTGTGAAAGGGACTGAGGGCTGTGGGCAATTTTCTATCCAGGAGACTAGTGCCAGGCTGGCCAGGGGACTATCTGGTGGTTAAACCACGACACAGGAACAAGGAGGAGGTAATACCTCCAGGTTACAGCAGTAGTGTGAGATACCTACTTGTTCTTTTCTTCCTCAGGATGTAGTGTCCACACTTCAGAATGCAGTTATACATTAATAAAGAGGGAAATAGTTCAGAAAATACACAGAAATTAGTTAATGTCTGGATAATCTGCCTTGCAATGTGAAAGTAAAAAGTCACTATCTCACTCATACTGAAAAAATAAGTTTCATGTGAGACTCATGAGTGAGATTCTCTGATCAATGTGCTGCAGGTAGTCTAGCTGTGCATTTCAGAATAGTTTGCCACAATTCTTCAGAATGTGACAAGAAGTGTTGTGGGATAAAAGTGTGTTATTGCCAGCATGGGTGATGGGTGATTACTGTACCTGATGATCAGGTACAGTGAATGGCTGTGCTGTGGTACCTGGACCTAGATCCCTTTCTCCTATATGGTAGCTGTGCACTGGCATTTCTCAAGGTTCCAAAACAGTATATGGGCAGGGGAAAGACTGCTCTCTAAATGATCTAATAGCAGATCTAATGCTACTGCCTTGTTTCTCTTGTCTGCAGGACAATAAGGTCAATGGTGTGACTTGCTGTACTCGGATGCTGGGCTGCACATACTTGCATCCTTGGATCCTGCCCAAACCACATGTCAGTTCCATTCCACTGACTGTACAAGATGAGCTGCTACTTCTAGGCAACAAAGCTCTCTGGGAACATCTTTCTTATACAGAGGCTGTCTCAGCTGTGCGCCACCTACATGACCCACTAGCTGCTGCAAAGAAACTCTGCACTTTAGCCCAAAGCTATGGTTGCCAAGACAACGTAGGTGCAATGGTGGTGTGTCTCAACATCAGTGAGGACAGCTGCACATGTGAGATGCATGGCCTCACTCTGCCAGGTCCTGGGGGATTTAGTTCCACCACCACCAAGCCAGCAACACCTTCATCTAGCAGTGGAATTGCTTCAGAGTTCAGCAGTGAACTGTCTGCTTCTGAGGTTAGCAGTGAGGTGGGTTCTACTGCTTCAGATGAACACAGTGCTGTTGGTCTTGATGGCAGTTTGCTACCACGACAAGAGCGACGTTGCAGCTTACATCCTGTGCCCCCCTCAAGCATCTTTCAGCGCCAACCTTCCAGTGCCACCTTCTCTAGCAACCAGTCTGACAATGGTCTGGATAGCGATGATGAGCAGCCTGTGGAAGGTGTGATGACAAATGGCAGTAAAGTGGAGGTAGAGGTGGACATCCACTGCTGTAAAGGAAAGGGCCTGGAGTTTGAACTTCCTGCTGCAGAGTACAGCTCCTCTGCTCTAGGGCCAGAGGATGACTCTGGGCTTGTCCTCATCATTCGGAGACAGAACAGTGTAAACAGCAACACTGTGCAGAGAGGGGTCAAGGAAAAGTGTGAACTGCAAAAATCTCTTTCCACATGCTGTCTCTATGGAAAGAAGCTTTCCAATGGCTCCATAGTGCCCTTGGAGGAGAGCCTCAACCTCATCGAAGTAGCCACAGAGGCACCCAAGAAGAAGACAGGCTATTTTGCTGCTCCATCCCAGATGGAGCCAGAGGATCAATTTGTGGTGCCGCCTGATCTGGAGGAGGAAGTGAAGGAACAAATGAAGCAGCACCAGGAGAATGGAGCAGATCAGGACAAGAAAGAGGAACATGTAGCAGCTCTGCCAGAGGAGTTTGACACAGCTTTGTAACCCTACAAGTACTGCTCCCACATTGTCTGTCCCAGGAAGCTCTGTCCCATAAGGGCTGTCTTGCCCTCCAAGGGGAGCTGGGATCTGCAAGGAGTACAGGCATCTGCTGCTTCATTAATGGAGTCGAGGAAGAACTGGGAGTGCTAAGGTCTGGGCTGTCCACTTTTCACTGTAGAGTTTCAGTTGTTCTATGGGCACTCAGACCAGCAGCTGAGCTCTTTGGTAGGGACTGTCTGGAAATTGTGCAAGCACTAGGAAGAAGGCAGGTGTTCCAACACCTGCCTGTAACTCCTTGAACCCTGAGGTTCTGCCAGCTCTGCAGGAAAGGGGCTGGCATATGTGTGTGTGGGGAGAGGAGCCTGCTGAGGGGGCAATGTTCAGTGTTTGGAGTCCTGTGAATATTTCTGATGCAGCCCCCCCCCCCAGCACCTGACTTTGTTACTCCTTGAAAGAATACAGCCAGTTGCAATGAAGCTGACCCAAGAATGGTTTCCTACATTAATTGCAAGCACTTTTATTGATTGCACTTGAGCTGTTCTGCTCCCCTTCAGCCCAGCACTTTATTATTTAGGGTTAGGGGAGAGAGCACGCCACAGCAGGTGTGGTGGGGGCTTTTCCCAATGGATATTGTTAGGGCAGTGGAAGTCTCAGGGTACCAGTGTTCTGATGAGCACTGGTGCAGGGTAGAGTGAGGGTTATGATCGGATCAGCCTATGCAGGATGAGAAAATACACAGCTGAGTGATAAGCAGGTGCCTACTGATGCATTTTAGATGGAGCATAGGAAAGATCAGCTCTGGACTTGTTGATTAAGGGAATGTGTAGAGCTAGTGCTTCTAGCTGCAGAGCACAGACCCGGCTCAGCAGCAGCTTGGCCACCTCCATCATGGATGCTTCACAGTAGAGGCTTCCTGTATCCAGGAGACATGGGATGAAACCCGGAGCTCACGCTTGTCTCAGTGAGGTACTCCATCTAAGAGGAAACCAAGTTGTAAGCAGTGGTATGCCACTCTAAGGCTAGTGAGCGGTGGGGCTGCCCTTCATATGCTGGGGAAGCGTTCAGTGCTCTGTTCCACCACCATAATAAACCTCTGCACTGTCAGCTACAGCATCTTTGCTTGCCTCTGAAAACAGGAGTCATATTCCAAATCCATAGCAACCTGCATTTCATGGTACATGCCCAATTTGGCCACAAACAAGGTGAAAGCATACGTGTTTCTGCTTAGCTTTCAATGCAAAAGGAAAAATAGAACTTTTCACCTTAATAACATCTTTATCAGCACTGGAAAAGATGTTTAAAACAGTCCCACTAGTGGTGAACTGGCCAGTCTGCACTCGGCAGATGCATTGTGTTTCCATTAGGATTTTTGGTGCAGGGTCTAAGTTGGCTGACTATGTCATCATCTTGTGTAAGGGTTGTGAAAAGACCACTGCCCCTGTAGCATGCAGATCTGTCTTCCTTAGCTGGCAGAGAGCTGGACAGCAGCTGCCCCGCTCAAGTCAGTGGTGCAATAATCCTGACTGTAATGTGGGCTAGTGCCTTTTCTTCTTTATTAATTATATTTATGAAGAAAACTTGAAAGTTTCTTCTCAAGAGCTCTGAGGGGCTTGAGCTGTATATTTTTGGATCAAATTCAGGCCTTGCTCAGAAGAAAATACTGTGCAGACTACTTGTGGGATTCTGTCAATATAGATCTTTTGATAAAATCTAATGGAGTTTTACTGACATTTCAAAGCACCTTGACTTTCTTCTCACTAGGAAAAAAATCATAGAATCATAGAATAGTTTGGGTTGGAAGGGACCTCTAAAGGTCATCTAGTCCAACCCCCCTGCCGTGGGCAGGGACATCTTCAACTACATCAGGTTGCTCAGAGCCCCG